CAACACGAGTGCCAAATCGAGAATTGATGATTGTGCTCTACAGTATAGAGGGAGACAGCTGTGCTAGGAGAGTGTGTCTTACTCCTATTGGTGGAGGGGGTTTTGGCATGATCATTTGCATGCTACAATACAGCTATACCATGTGTAATCACATGATGTTAAGTGGAAGCCTCACGACTAGTGGTAAGTGAAAATTGTGCATACAGAGGGCAGCACAAATCAAGGAAAGCTAATATTTGAGGGGAAGTAATGTATCGTATTGGAAAATGGTTTTTTGTAGCTTTTTATAAATAAAGCCATTAAACATAATCAATTCTTTAACTGCAAAAGACATGTTTATAAAACACAAATTTAAAGAAAACATTAACTATACATCTAAATAAACAATACAAGTTCTGTATTTTATACTGTTGGTCTTATGTGACAATATGTTTTACGAATTTCGGGCATAATTTTGGCATATGATATCACATTGAATAAAATCTTTTAAGTTTAGGACTTTTCTTTTGAATGTTCAGTCTCTAATAAACATATTATTAGCCTTACAAACATAATAACTAATGTATGTTCCTTACTTGGATTGGCAATAATGAGATAAAGAAGGGTTTCATATTCTTCACAACATACAATTTAAGGTTTGTTTCAAAGTTCAAGTTATTGAAATATGACAACCCACATCAGTACAAAAACATATTTAACCATCTCTATAAAAAGATGAAAAAAACAAGTCTCATCAGTATAGAAAGATATTAAATTATTTTTCTATTAATTTAAATGAAACAATATCCTATATCTCTAGAATGTATCTTTATTAGCTCAAAATTTTACTATTACATATTTCTCAGAAGCTACTGATAACAAACAAGTTCATTAATCCAGTTAAAACTAAATTAAAACACCTCATCAGTTAATGAAAAATGAATACACATGTCCAAAACATCTAAAAAGTTCAACTCATATTAACACTCGATGCACGAATCAACAATACTTTTTTTTGGGGGGGTGATTCCAGAACATCTCTTTCCGGAATTAAAGATACCTTTATTCTGAATACACCAAATGATTTGTCTTGATCTCCGGAATCAAATGAGCATATCCATTTCTCATTATTCTTGGTCTACACTGTTTTACGTTTGACAATCTGTGATTATCCATGGCTTACAACCCATCAAAACACCTCACCTTTACACATCTTCCAAGATAGTAAAGGTCTTACAAACTCTACATTTCTTAGGAGCAGCATAAAGTGATGAGCAGTTTTCACTCACAAACTACCAAAGTTCTCATCAGCAATCACTCCTCCATCTACAGTGATGGCCGAGGAAGTTATGAAGAAGCTCACATGCCACTGCAAAATTCCAAAGTGTAGTACTTGTCTGAAGTGCAGTAGATGTGGTTGCAATCATGAGAGGATTCCTATCACATTGAAACTAGGGTGAAAGAGAAGAGGCATGCAACAGACAAATTCCACAGCATCAAAAACCAGGAAATTGCACTGTAATGCTAACATAAACCAGACACTTTTGCTGAGCCAGCAGAGACAGGAGTTGACAGGCCTAGCAAAAAGCAACATAGTGAAGATGTCTCCAAAGTGTGTCATCATACTTCTGTTATTCTTGCTGTGTGCCTCTCCCACTTGTCTCATTTCACCTTCCTTGTTTGTCTATGTCTGCTTGTTGGGCACAAGAACATAGTGGATGAAAAAGTGGAAGAAGACACGGCTGCCACCATATTATTCACATAGATAATGAGAATCGCAATACAAAGCACTGGCACATGTTGCAGCTGTTTTTTGGACGAAAAAATAGAACTAGAACAATTATTACTTCATGATATTGTAGCAGATGAAAAATAGAGTGGAGAAGAAAATGAGATGTAGACAAGTTCCCAAACATTTTCCAATCATCATTTTTTATTTTCCTTATCACCCAATCATAATGAGACATTGAATGGGGCATCAATCACACAACAGTCCTTAATATATACTATGAGTGACTATCATGAGAAGCCCACTCCTTCCAGATTCCACCTACTTACCACCTGGTATTACATGCATGAGATGTTGTATCACAGAAAGCTATGTTGATTTGAGGTTTTCAGATCATTCTCTTTTCCAGACTTTAGTCCTTTTTTGAAAAATATATTCCCGGTATGGGTAGGGACTATTATTTTCTCCCCCCAAAACCTACAATTTTGGTCTGGTTGGCTCGTGCATTTGGTGTTAAGAATAATATCAAACATTCTTGAATTAAAATTGTTTAAACAATCTGAGCCAACAATAATACATAAACAATATACGTACAAAAACAGCTGAAGTACAAATATCATAGGATTTAGAAATAGATACATGTATTACATACACATTCATACCTGTATGTATAAATATATTTTACACACATCTGTAGTTTTCTCTCATATTATATCAAAACAAAGCCACTATGAAAATGTATAGAAACTTAATCAAAATTCCAACACATAAAAAGTGAAATATTGAGCCAAGAAAAATACATCTGCAGGTATATGGAAATGTCTAGTAATAATCCCCTGTTTGTGTTAAACAAACTTAGGAATAATAGGATATAAACAACCTCTATAACAAAAATTCAAAAGCAGACAGTCCTCAGCAGTATAATGGGTTATTAAACTATCTTTCCAGAAAAGATTCAAAAGCAGACAAGCCTCAGCAGTAGAGAGAGATATTAAACTATTTTTATAACACAGACGCACATAAAAAAAAGATAATTACGTCTCAAAATGTCATTAATAAGCAATGCATTAACACTTCTTTCAAGATTATTAATTACACTATCTTGTTTGTTTACAGAAGAGTGACCATGCTGTGCAGAAAAAAGTTAAATAAAAGCAAAATCATATAAAAAAGTCTTAATAGAAAAATTTCCTGTTACTCTTGTGCTGGAATTGTGTATGCCTAAAATTCATAAACCAGATTGTCTGATAAGACTAACAGTATCAAATAATGGCCTACATAAATATAGCATGAAAGCTTCTTAGTAAAATTTATCCATTATACAGGAACTCACTTTATGATTAAAGAGAGTTTTGAGTTTTCACAATTTATGCAGAATTTGAAGTATTGATGTTGTGTGTAGAGCTAATTTCCATGTTTAACCTCTATAATTCTATGTTAACATTCCATTACAAGAAACTATACATTTGTGTATTTTCTTCAAATGTAGTTACAGACTTATGTTTTTTTAAGTTGCTGTTTTTGGAGCTAAAGGATTGTATTTTATACGTAATGTTTTTTTTATTAATGATTTATTGACAAAATCATTACAAATTTAGTTTCTTGTGTTTACACTTTATTATACAAAAAAAATAAGTCAAATTAAGAAGTTCTTGAAATTTAACGAGTTTATCAACAATTGAGATACTAACATTCCTAAAATGCCAAATAAAGTGACCATTTTTAAAATTTTTCCATGTGTTTCTGTGTGAAAGAATATTTAGGATACATCACCAAGTAGTTATCTATCTGTGTTAAACATAACGATTCAATAAAACCTTGAAATGTATCAAGTACTACTCATCATGTGTTTACATCATTATTAAAACTAACAATTACCTAATAAGTAGTGGAGCTCAGGATGTTCAGCAATTCGAGGTTTGTGAAAAGTTTCACGAAAGCTAACATGAAGGTGATTTTGAACCAGCAGAATTTGGCTTTGTGTACTTCTTCAAATCACAAACTTTTTCATTTTTTGTTTGATATTAATCAAGTAACACACACACATACACAAACACATAAGACAATGTACAATTTCACAGCTTTCACTTCTTTTTCTCTGTATTTAATGTTATTCTAGCTTCCACAAGACACCTAACTGTGTGCTTAGTTAAAATCTTTCAAACTAAAGAATCATATTGTAAACATAAAAAATATTTATTTCATTGTTAGGTTCAGGAATAAGTTTATAATTAAGCAAAGGATACTAAAGGGTTGAATAAATGCATCTTCTCTGTGGAGCAGCTGAAGAAGTTCGTATTTGCTTTCTGGAATACCATCTTGTTTCTACAATGACGAAGAAAAGAAATAAAATGGATGCACATTCAAATTTCTGTCATCTTAACACATCAACTGTCTGAATATGCACCAAAACTACAAATCCTGTCATTTTAAATACACCAACACAGCAACTATGTGAGTGCATCCCTAAACTACAAATACTGTAATTTTAAATACACCAAGACAGCAACTATCTGAGTGCATCCCTAAACTATAAATACTGTAATTTTAAATACACCAACACAGCAACTATGTGAGTGCATCCCTAAACTATAAATACTGTAATTTTAAATACACCAACACAGCAACTATCTGAGTATGCACTTAAACCATAAATCTTGTCATTTTAAATACACCAAAACAGCAGTTATCTGAGTATGCACCTAAACCATAAATCTTGTCATTTTAACACATCAACACAACACATTTTCGAGATCTTTTTTAATGAATACATAATATTTAACATCAAACTGTAAATTTGTTATAATGCAATTGTGATATAATATAGGAATACATTTTATACAAATAGTTGTCTTTACTCTACAACAATATAATTAAGCATTTGCAATAATAGAACTTTTATTTTAGTTTCTGAAGTCCAAATTTTAAGCCTCAGAAAACTCCTTATAAGCTTTATTTTATAGAAGAAAAATGTTTTAAAGTAAGTATCACTACAAAAAAAGTATTAGGTCATCAAGAAATTAATGTTGCTTTTTTTAGATGAAAAAACCCGAACAACTTATATATCTAAACAAAACATTTATTAAATGAAATAGTCTCCATTCTTAACGATGATGATTTTCCATCTTACAATCACGTTGTTAATGCCCTGATTAAAGAAATCACTTGGCTTGGAAGCAAAAAACATGTCGATGTCCTCTTTGCCACCTTCCATATTTGCATACATTTTCCCATTAAGATGGTGTTGCAGCGAACGAAAAACACGGTAATCTGATTGTGCCATATCTGGAGAATATGGTGGGTGGGGAGAACTTCCCAACCCAACTCCATAATCTTGTGTTGCGTCAAACATGCTATATGTGGACGTGTATTGTCGTGGAGAAGAAGAACACCTTTCTGATTGACGAGTGAAGGGCGTTTCTGATGAAGGACTTGATTTAAATATTCCAGTTGCTGACTATAGATCTCTGCATTGACAGTTCGGTGTGCATTGAAGAGTTTGAATTGAATTACTCCTTTGATGTCCCACCAAATGCAAAGCATCACTTTCTGCAGATGGAGTCCAGGTTTTGGGGTAGGAAGTGATTATTGTCTAAGACTGAACTATTGTTTTTGGCATTTAATATTCGCATAGAGAATCCATTTTTTCATCACCAGTGACTATTCTGTCCAAAAATGGTTCACGCGCATTACGCACCAGAAAAGACGAATCAACGTTCAAACATTGGAAATGATAATCATTGGAGAGTTTGAGAGGCACCCGAACACCTTCTTTAAGGAGTTTTCTCACATTGTTTCATGAGAGACATGCAATTTTAGGGCCATTTCACCAGTGTGTTGCCTTGGGTTAGACTCAACAAGCGTCTTCAGAGCATCAATATC